CGCGCGCCTGGGGCCGGCGCCTCCCATGCGCCGGGGGCAGGGCCGGCCCAGCCCAGGTTGTCGGCGGGCGTGCACAAATGCCCTGGTGGGCGCCTTGGCGCCCGCGGGCACCACATTGGGGACCAGTTCTTTAATCCTTACTATTATAGCTCTGGGTAGACTTGTTATGTCAAGCCTTCTACTGAGTCCTGCTATGAAGCTTTATTTAATACAGTGGGATAGCCTCTTAATTGATACACCTTCGTGGAAACAAATGACCTGATTATCAGAGGTTCATGTGGTACTTCTGCTCTATACTGTTACATACCTGTTTTTGTTTCAGGAATTGCTATGAGAGTAAGTCTAGTACAACTTAAAAAAACTAAAAGCATAGAGATCAAAGAAGTGGCATGTAGTGAACAGTAATATGCAATGACAAAATATGCCAGCAAACACCAAGTCCTACTGGAGGCTGCTGTGGAGATGCTTGTAAGCAAGACATAAGTGTTCAGAAATTGTGTGCAACTTATATATATTTTTAGATCTGTTGCACAAAATCTATTCCCTGTTAACTAAAATAACTGGGAAATGAATAAGTTACCATTTATGGGGCTTCTCTTGTGTCTGTCAGGGTTGGGTTTTTTTCCTCTCCTTTTGAGTTTACAGCCAGTCCCTGACTTACGAACGCATTGACTTACGACCATCTGCACTTACGACCAACCTCCCATTTACCTCATTACAGCCAGTCCCCAACTTACAAACTCACCATCTGTACTTATGAACAGCACGGCTGCATGTATTTCCGACTTACAAACAAATCAAGTTACGACCAGGTGTTGGAACGTAACTCGTTTGTAAGTTGGGGACCAGCTGTATTTCCGTCTCTCCTCCAACCTGGTTTAAGTGCTATTTCCCAGGTAAGCATGTAATTCTCATGCTGGGTAATTTACAGGGCTTCCCTGCTGTAAAACTCAGCCACTGGGTGACTTCTTGCTGTGGAATTGGGATGTTGGCTCCCAAAGGGGCAGCTGCTGTGTTGTGGGCAATGCATGTGGTAAAGGGCATGTACCATTTTGAATGTCCCCTTCCCCATGGTATTGGTGTTGCTGTTTGTGCGTGGCAGTTGCTGGCATTGCCCTGAGTGAGAGCTGTCCTGAAACACAAATCATTGCCTGCTTTTGTCATTCATCACATGAAATAAAGAATGCTTAGAATGCAATCTCTTCATGCTCCCTTCCCCCCCGCCCTGACATCAATGGGGAATCTTGTCATTGGTCCCCAGCAGGATTAGGAAATGATTGAGCAGTGGCTGGAAATGACTTACACAGAAATAATTTTATACCCTTCCCTAACTTTCTTTAAAGAGTTTCTCTGTCTTAGTCTCAAACTGTGGGTCACCTGAGACTAATGAGAGCCGGCAGACAAGTCCTCTGAAGACTTGCTTATCCACAAGCAGTAACAGAAGGTGTTCTGCTCTTGGTTTTTGTAACATGCTGGAATTTATTTCTCTGGCACAGATGTTACTCCAGCCACATTTGAAACACCTGAAGTACACCCAGGCGCCTCTTCCTTGTTGAATAAGTCCAAGATTGGGATCAAAACTGCAGAAGAAGGTAGGAAAAGGACTATTTTTTTTTATTTGGGTTTGCCAGCAGGAGGGGAAATAAAATACTGCTGTGTCAAGTGGCCCCTTCTAATATCTGCACCAAGTGAAACTCCACCACAGGTTGTGTGGTATACGGGCCTGAATGGATCAGTAATGATCACTGATGTGAACCTTCATCGTTTGCCAAGAAAAGGGTTTTTTACCTGTGGGCAAGGTACCAAGAGTAGAGCTGTTCATGTACAGAATAGTAAAGACAAGGGATGTTAAAAACTAGTTGACTATCGGATAAGCATTTGCTTATCGGATAGTCTGTTGACTAGTCAACCAGTTTATTTCCTCCCTCCTCCTTTGCTGCCTCTATGAGGAAAGGGGTACTTCAAAGCAGCAGTGCTGCACAGCTGAGCCTGGGATCAGTTACGTGGTGCTGCCCCTTTGAAGCAGTGTTTCAAAGGGGCAGCCGCCAGCACCACCCAGCTGGCTCATCTGTGCAGCGGCGCTGCCCCTTTAAAATGCCGAAGGGTGGTGGAGCCTGGGGTCAGCTGGGGTCAGTGTGGGAAAATAATTGCATGGGGGATTAATAACCAGGCACCTCTTAATACAGAAAGGGGATTGTGAGCCTCTTCATTAGACTTCTTCCCTCATCTCTCTAGGAGAAGTGGAGAAAGAACAGAATAAGGATGCTCTTCCCAGCCTTGACAGTTTCTTAACCAAACACACCAGCGAAGATAATGCTTCATTTGAGCAGATCATGGAAGTGGCCAAAGAGAAGGAGAAGGCCAGACACTCTTGGCTGTACGAAGCAGAAGAGGAGTTCGCTCAGGTGGGGAAATGGCTCCTGAAAGGCTGAGCTCTTCTGACATAATACTGTGGACAATTGCTGTTGTCTTTTTCATAGTATCATAAGATTGAAAGAGATCTCAGGAGGTCATTGAGTCCAACCCCCTGCTAACAGCATGATCAACCCCAACTAAATCATCCCCTCATCATTTTTAACCAAGTAGGAAGGATATTTTCTTGCTTTTGATGGGGGAGAGGAGACAGTATTAAGTTCCCTTCTATTGCTGAGTCCCACTAGACCCCTGAGATTTGTTTCTTATGTGCTCATATGTGACTGTTGACTTTAACACACCGATGCATCAAGAGCAAAACATTGATTGATTTTGAGTTGTGTGTGTATGAGACACTGGGATCTTGTATAGTGAGCTAAAAAGAACTCTGGAGTTCAGTCCTGGCTCAGCCCCAATTTGCTGTAGCACTGGACAAATCACTAAACTCTTTTGTGCTCCCATTTTTCCTATGTACAGCTTGGGGATAATATTGACATACATCAAGGGTGCTGTGGTTATATATTGTACATAGCTTTGAAAATGCAAAGCACCGTCTAAGTGTTTGTGTTACAAATCTTCTAGAAAGCTGTTGAATGGTTCTTCGTGGAGAAGCTGTTACTGAGGTAGAGGCTCTGTCAGTCTTTCTAGATGGCTGCTTGACATTTAATTTCAGAGATTCGTGAATTTAAGTCTACAAAGACTCTGTAGTAAATGTGTGCTTATTTTTGTAGCCCTGTATACCTCCTGTCCACTCAAAGGGACTGATACTGTCGTGTGGTTCGATTTTTAGATCCAAGGGAAACCAGGACCCTCTAGAGAGGCTTAACCACTTATTTATTGCAAGCTTTAAGCAGTTAATATAGTTGTTTACATTTTACAAGCCTTAAAAACAATTACTGTAACATTTATAGTATTTAAGGTTTAAATTGTAAAGCAATTAATACAGTGCAAAGCAATGCAAAAGTAATTAATAGAACATTATTATAATACAATAATTAAGCCTAGTTCACTTACACTTCACTCGTATGCTACTTACATTACCAGGCAGGAGGTCATATATCGGAACACTGTGCATGGGAGTCACCAGTATGAAGGGGTCTATTACTTCTAGTTACAACGAGCGGGACCTATGGGTCAATCCTGCTTATTTCATCCCATTGATTCTTCTTACTAAGCCCATTTTATAGCAAAGCGAGACTTGGTCATTCTAATAATATCTACCAATCAACTGCATATTGTGTAAGATACCTATTATGCCAATATTTGGGGTACATCCAATTAACAGTTCGATGGCTGTATCTGGAATTTTTCGCTCCTCAAAAATGGGAGCAAATTGTACCAAACCAGTACCAAATTGTTTCTAGTTTTCTTGGCCTGGTCTCGTCTCTGCCTCCCAAAGCTTCCCCTACCTTGTCTGCATGTTTACGTGCACCAGACTTGAGACAGGCCTAAGGTTTGCTTTGTTAGAGATTCGTACCTTGGACAGGGACAGGGCAAGGCCTGACAAGGCAGACATTGTTTTGGTGAAGGGTGGGCCATCTAGGCTCCCCTACAGATACCAAACTTTAAAAGGCCAACACCAGAGTAGCATTCTCACAATGAAGTGATTGATTCCGCTTGGGTTACAGAAGAGACAGAAATGCAAAAAGCCATTCCAGGAATGATAATTATACCTCTCCCTTTAAACTTCATATCTTATTTTATAGCAGTGGTCTCTGGTCTCTTCAAAGGAAACCAATCTCTGAACTACTCTCCTCTGAAAGACAAAAGAACAAAGAGATGAAAAGTAGAGCTTATTTTCAGTCTAAATAAGAGTGTGAAATTCAGGCTTTGTTTTCAATATGATTCCAGCGACGACTTGAGTATCTGGCGCTTCCCTCAGCAGAGCACCAGGCCCTGGAGAGTGGGAAAGCTGGAGTGGAGACTTGGGAGTACAAGGCTCAGAATTCCCTGATGTATTACCCACCAGGTGAGGCAAATGCTTCCCTTACAAGGCATCAGCAGTAGAAACATGCACTGATTCACCACACAGCACCTGTATTTCACCCTTGCTGTCCACATATCTTGTTTGGGTGCCTGAATTGCTGTTCCTAGGGTAAGATTGCACTTAGAATCTTTTCCTTCCATGAGGTAAGACACGATGTTTCTTTCCAATGTCATTCCTGTCTCACTTTGCCTCTAATGCTATTTTTCACCTGTTGCTTATTATCCATATAAGAATGGCCATACTAGGTCAGACCAAAGGTCCATCTAACCCAGTGTCCTGTCTGCTAACAGTGGCCAATATCATATGCCCCAGAGGGAGGGAACACAACCGGTACTCCTCCCATGATCCCTCCCCCATCACCCATTTCCAGACAAACAGAGGCTAGGGACACCATTCCTACTCATCCTGGCTAATAGCCATTGATGGACCTAACCTCCTTGAATCTATCTAGCTCCTTTTTGAACCCTGTTAAAGTCTTAGCCTTCACCGTATCCTCTGGCAAGGAGTTCCAGTGGTTGACTGTGTGCTCAGTGAAGAAAAACTTCCTTTTGTTTGTTTTAAACCTGCTGCCTATTAATTTCATTTGGTGACCCCTCGTTCTTATATTGTGGGAATAAGTAAATAACTTTTCCTTATTCACTTTTTCCACATGTCATGATTTTATAAATCTCTTTCATATCCCCCTTAGTCTCCTCTTTTCTAAGATGAAAAGTCCAAGTCTCTTTAATTTCTCTTCAGATGGGACCTATTCTAAACCCCTAATCATTTTTGTTACCCTTTTTCTGAACTTTTCCCATGCCAATATATCTTTTTTGAGATGAGGTGACCACATCTGTACACAGTGTTCAAGATGTGGGTGTACCAGGATTTTATGTAGAGGCAATAAGATATCCTCTGTTTTATTGTCTATCCCTTTTTAAATGATTTCTAACATTTTATTTGCTGTTTTGACTGCCTCTGAACACTGAGTGGCTGTTTTCAGAGAACTGTCCATAATGATTTCAAGATCTCTCTCTTGAATAGTTGTAGCTAAATTAGTCCCTGTCATATTGTATATGTAGCTGGGATTATTTTTTTCCAATGTGCATTATTTTACATTTGTCAACGTTAAATTTAATTTGCCATTTTGTTACCTAATCACTTAGGTTGGTGAGATCTTTTTGAAGCTCTTCAGCCTGCTTTGGCCTTAACTATCTTGAGCAGTTTGGTATCATCTGCAGATTTTGCCCCCTCACTATTTACCCCTTTCTCTAGATGATTTATAAATATGTTGAATAGGATGAGTTCCAGGACAGACCTTTGGGGGACCTCACTAAGTTATCTCTCTCCATTTGGAAAACTTACCATTTATTCCTACCCTTTGTTTCCTGTCTTTTAATCCATTATCAGTCCATGAAAGGACCTTCCCTCTTATCCCATGATAACTTACTTTACTTAAGAGCCTTTGGTGAGGGACCTTGTCAAAGGCTTTCTGGAAATCTAAGTACACTATATCTACTGGATCCCCCTTGTCCACATGTTTGTTGACCCCCTCAAAGAACTCCAGCAGATTAGTCTGGTATGATTTTTCCCTTTACAGAAACCATGTTGACTTTCTTCCAACAAATTATGTTAATATATGTGTCTGACAATTTTATTCTTTACTATAGTTTCAACCAATTTTCCCGATACTGACATTAGACTTGCCAGTCTGTAATTGCCAGAATTATCTCTCGAGCCTTTTTTGGCATCATATTATCTTCCAGTCATTAGGTACGGAAGCTGATTGGAAGGCTAGGTTACAAACAACAGTTAATACTGGTATGATTTTTCCCTTTACAGAAACCATGTTGACTTTCTTCCAACAAATTATGTTAATATATGTGTCTGACAATTTTATTCTTTACTATAGTTTCAACCAATTTTCCCGATACTGACATTAGACTTGCCAGTCTGTAATTGCCAGAATTATCTCTCGAGCCTTTTTTGGCATCATATTATCTTCCAGTCATTAGGTACGGAAGCTGATTGGAAGGCTAGGTTACAAACAACAGTTAATAGTTCCACAATTTCCCACTTAAGTTATTTCACAACTCTTGGGTGAATGCCATCTGGTCCCGGTGACTTGTTACTGTTATGTTTGTTCCAAAACCTTCTCTAATGACACCTCAGTCTAGGACAATTTCTCAGATTTGTCTCCTAAAAAGAGTGGCTCAGGTTTGGGAATCTCCCCAATATCCTCAGTCGTGAAGACTGAAGGAAAGAATTTATTTAGCTTCTCCACAATGACTTTATCATCTTTGAGTGCTCCTTTAGCATCTTGATCATCCAAGAGCCCCATTGATTTTTTTAGCAGGCTTCCTGCTTCTGATGTACTTAAAAACATTTTGCTATTACTTTTTGAGTGTTTGGCTAGCTGTTCTTTAAACTCCTTTTTGGCTTTTTTAATGATATTTTACACTTAATCTGGCAAAGTTTATGCTCCTTTCTATTTTTCTCACTAGGATTTGACTTCCACTTTTTAAAAGGTATCTTTTTATCTGTCACTGCTTTTTACTTGGTTGTTAAGCTATGGTGGCAGTTCTTGGGTTCTCTTACTGTTTTTTAATTTGGAGTATACATTGCAGTGGCATTTGTTTTTGGAGTCATAGTTTCTCCCTATTGGGTTTGTCTTGTTAATGAGTGTATTCAGTTTCCCTCTTTCCTCCTACGATGCAGTTCAACTCTGAATATGTGGGTTTTGCTGGTCTCTTGGCTGCTGTATTGAAGGCAATGGGATCTTTTAACAAACCCACACTGAGGCTAGATACCTTTTCTGCTGAATGTACAATAAACAACCTTTATGTGAAATGCGGAAACTCTTGTGTGTGTTTCCTGCTTTTCTAATGTAGCTTGATTTGTCTTTGCTTTTCAGATAGTAAGGTAGACACGTGCATTAATGTAAACTTTATTTTAAATCGGCAGAAATGGCAAAATATATTTGCCTCTGTAATTGCTGAAATGTGTACTGAGATGATGTGTGGGTTTGGCAGCCTTATGCCAGCCTGCCCTCTAGTGGGAACTCAGCCCTTTTCTTGATCCCTTGGCTGCCTTTTCAGGTGTGCCTGATGAGGATGATGTGTTTAAGAAGCCTCGAGAAGTTGTGCATAGGAACACCCGCTTTCTGAAAGATCCATTCAGTCAAGCACTGAGTAAATCCCAGCTGCAGCAGGCAGCAGCCCTCAATGCCCAGGTTAGTTTACAGACAAGTCATTAATTGTGAATGAAACACCCTTCATTGGGTGAGATGCAGAATGTGAGAACTGAATGCATTTAATTGGATGAGAACTGAATGTGCCTAATTGGATGCTTTCTCCAAGTGTACCTGACTGATCCCAGCTTTTCTGTTCTAGTACAAACAGGGCAAAGTAGGGCCAGATGGGAAAGAGCTGATCCCCCAGGAGTCTCCAAAAGTGAATGGCTATGGATTTGTGGCCACCCCCTCTCCTGCCCCTGGTAAGAAGAGACTGTTTTTGCTCTAATGTAAAAGCAAAGTAGTTAGCAGTGCTGTCCTGTTCCACTGACCTTTCTGTATCCATGTTTCTGTAATCATGCAGGCTTGACTTCCACTTTATAGATCTGCTGAGGCAATGGTTCTCGTGGGTATAGTATGTGGTGGCTTAGTTCTCTGTTCCATCTCAGTCTCAGGACAGAAATCATGCTGGGCTCGGGAGCATCTGAGAGCTGTATGCTGCTTCACTGTACTCAGGTTGAATGGACTAGATTGTCCTAAGAAGGATTCTAGCTCTGGGCTGGGACAGAGGAATTTGTAGTGTGGGGGGGGCTCTTGGCTCAGCCTGGAGTACAAGAATGGGTGAAAAGAGCAAGTTTTGGGAGAGAGTCTGGGGCTCTGGACTGGGACTGGGGTGCAGGGTGAGGGGTCTGGAAGGCAGTTTGGATTAGGGATGTTAAAAAGCTATTTTTTTCCCCCCTTTCTTTTTTTTGTAAACATGTAACTGCTGAATTTTTACACATTTACCCACAGGAGAGGAAGTGGCTCCTGCAGGCAGGTTGTAGGTGGTCTGGATTAATGGCACAGTTTGCCACCCTGGATAGGCTCCTGGGAAGGGATTTGGCAGTTTCAGTGGAGGCTGCTAGGAAAGTTCTTTAAGCCAGTAATGCAGCTTCAGCATAGGCTTTGAGAATTTGTTACGTTCCATTCTGTCTGAATCAGACTTTGTTTTTTGCTGTTCATGCAGGTTGCTGGGCAACCAAATAAATGTGTGAGTGACAGCAAGGAAGGGACTGTTTGAGGACCAGTGTGTCAGTGACTGAGGCTAGTTCAGGATGGTAACAAGCTACCAGTTCAGCTTTCTATCTTCTCCAAAAGACAGCCCCTATACCAGTATTGATCCACAAACAACGCACTGGGCTTTTGTGCCATTCTGACCCAAACCAATTTTCCATGATTCACAATGTGTTGCAAACTCCTATTCATTTTGCAATCCATTATTACCACTCCCAGTCATCTTCGGCCCTTCGGCTTTCTCTCCCACCCTTCAAATAGATCTGTACCATGGAGGTTATAGAACAACCTCTCTGGTACTTAATCAGAATCTAATAGGCTCTGTTTTTGTTGGGTGCTCACTGATTTTATGCTGACCTTTCTGCAGTCATTATTTGTACTGAAGACTGGGAATTCTTGCATCCTTTCCAGCACCTGATAAAGCATGCCACTGGCTTCCCCAGGGCAGATCCTTCCCATGGAATAAATTTTCTCTATATCAGAAATACGCTAGGTAGAAGATCCCATTGTTCATCCTAATAAGCCAGTTACCAGATCAGGCTCTGGGAAATTAACCTCCAGCTCTAGCTATTGTTAAAGGGTAGTGTCTTTCATGTAGTGAGTGTGATGGTCTCTGTGGTGATGGCTACTCCATTGGGTAACCAGTGATTTATGCTGTTTCATAATCAGCTTCAGTTTACTATGGTGGGCAGAGAGCCTGTGCTCTGGGTGTTGCTGTCTCTACAAATGTCTTGCCTCACTAACCGACACTTCTTTACTTGTTGCTAGGTGTGACCGATTCTCCTCTTATGACATGGGGCGAGATTGAGAGCACCCCCCTGCGAATAGATGGGTCAGAAACTCCGTATGTGGACAGGACACCTGGACCAGCTTTCAAGGTATTTCAGAATTCAGCACTCTCATCTTTTGGGGAATGGATTGCAGTGACATGGCAGCAGAGGAGCCACTCATATTTATTATTGTAGGAGCTATGGCTTGTCTGTGGCACTGGTTACCTAGGCTCTGTGGGTAGAGTTTAACTGGATGAAATGCTGTGGCCATGAGTCACCTACTGCTTATGGCCCAACCCAGGCATCCTGAAGTTGGGGTTGAATATTCTAGAAGTCTGGAGAAGAGGAGAGTGTCTCGTTTTGTGACTTGATGAATAACTAGATCGAGAGCCTTAAACTTTCCCTGCTGGGGAGCTTCCTTCCAGCTTGGTTTTCCTGGCCTGTCACCACTAGCTGAGACTTCTGTGTCCTGGGAAGATTAGGGAGGTGGCAGGTTGGCTCTACAATTTGCATTGGGCCTCAGATGCCGGATGTCTCCCTTTCCTTTCCTGGAGACAATGAGCATCTTTGGGTGAGATTCCTGAAGTAGAAAAATTCTACTGTTGCTAACTGTTGGCCATACAGTTGATTGGTTTCCCCTAGAAATTAGCTCTCCTCCCCGATCATTGTTATGGGGCTGAAGGCTGACCTATGTAAGACCAAGTGATGCACATTGGGCCTCAGATGCCGGATGTCTCCCTTTCCTTTCCTGGAGACAATGAGCATCTTTGGGTGAGATTCCTGAAGTAGAAAAATTCTACTGTTGCTAACTGTTGGCCATACAGTTGATTGGTTTCCCCTAGAAATTAGCTCTCCTCCCCGATCATTGTTATGGGGCTGAAGGCTGACCTATGTAAGACCAAGTGATGCAATC